TTCTTCTCTCTCCTATTGTGATCTCGATCTCCTCTTCTCTCTCTCTCTCTCTCCTCTTTTTAGCAGATAAAGCCTTTGACTAATTTTGTTATTTTTTTTCTTAAACAATATCACACCACTACTCCACTACTTTTATTTAAAGATAACGACTCTCTCTCTCTCTCACCCCACTACTTTTAAAATAATGACTTTATAAAGATAATGATTTTATTTAAAAATATTTTTATATTGTATTTAATTAATCAAATATTATTTAAAAGTTAATTTGGTCAAGTTTTTAACATGGTAATTTAATAAATATTTTTAAAAAATAACTATTTACTGTATCCCTGTGCCTGTATCCAAATTTGGATCCATATCCCATATCTTCTATTTTCAGTTTTAAGGTGTCCGCCCCCTAGATATGCACCCACACCTGATACTCGTACCTGAGTCCGGGTTACATAGGTCACATGCATAACAAAACAAATGAGAGAAAACATAATTTTTCGAGCTTTAAGCATTGATTGAGTTACCGAGTCTTAAAAATATATATATATATATATCTAATAAGCAAAGCTGAAATATAGTTTATATCACAACCTACCAATCCACATTTCCAAATAATAATACAAAATGAGGCTTCTTACATATTTGTACTCTAATGGCTGCTCCAATTATAGTCATCTGCCGAGTCTCATAAACATCACAAATAAACATCTGTAAGTAAACCTGAAATGGTAGCTAGGTCATGCCACCTGAGGAATAATCAAACCAAGCAACCATGTGAATAGAGAATGTAAATATCACAAATAAATTGCTTGATTTGGGGTTTTTTTAAAGAGAATAAAATGTTATCCAACAAAAAAATAATTGGATCTATTTTCATTATTTATGATTTTGAACCGTAATTTGTTTTCCAATGGAAGCCAAGCACCCTATTAAAGAAAGAAGGTGATGCAGGTTGGAATGGTGAGAGAGGAAGAGAGAGAGAATGAAGAGATGAATACGGGTTTTGGGGTTGGGTCTCTAGTGAGGGTCGGGCTCCAAGAGAGAGTTGAAGAGTATGAGATTGAAACAAAAACAGAGGGAGAGAGAGAGAGAGAGAGAGAGAGAGAGAGAGAGCTCTAATTTTGAAATCAAAGATGTGAGAGAGAATGGGTGGATGGTTGGAAAGAAGAGAATGTGAGGCGTGTTTGGTACTCAACTTTCATGGGCGGGAAATCGAAGCATGGAGAGATCAACACTTTTGTTCACATCAATTAAAAACAAATCGAACAAATAATCCAAGTCAATTAAGAAAAATACCTAAAATTTGAACAAATTGAAAAATCGATAATCAACAAATAGTTCAAGAACCCAAGTCAATTAAGAACATCAACACTTTATCTTGAAGTACCCAAGAATTTAAGCCAATTGTTAGTAATAGAAATAGTTGCCTTAATGAGTTCAAATCTTGTCATTATTAGAATGCTACACATAAGACTCAAAGTAAACACAGTAACCACAGTATCTTTCTTTTATTTTTCCCCCACTTCTGAGCAATTAAAAACAGCAACCAATGATTAGCAAAAGGAAACCCAATAAAAAAAATAAAAATAAAACTATTTTTGATAAAAATACAATAACAACAGACCTTTCAACAAAACACAGAAATTACAGTAGCCAAAATTTTACTTTCTTTACTATTTCCCCCACTTTCTCACCAACCAAACAGGACAGAATTGTTTTTTTGTAGAAACTATTGATTTATGGGCTGATAAATATTTATACCATTTCTGATAGTTAAATTTTAATTTATGGTGGAATACTAGTGTGCTGATAGAAGTTCAAATATTTGTGGTTAATATTTATGGGCTGAAAAGTTTCTGCAGCAAGAAAAGTTATGGGCTGATAAAATATATATATTGGGTTTCTCTGTAAAGCTCTGTTCTTTGTTTCAGAGGAGGGGCTTTGTTTGGAGCTTCAAATCCTTAGATTATATCCATTTACACAGATAGATTATGTTAAAATTTACCATCACCTACCACACACTCACCTACTACACTCACCTACTCCTCACCTACCACCACCTACTCCACTACACCTACATTTATATAAGGAACCATTTGTAATAGACAACAATTAGATATCAATCAATATATAAAATACAATCAATCAATAATACAATTTATTCTCTTTCTCTCTCTATCAATATATCTTACATGGTATCAGAGCAGGTTTAGAACCAAGTATTTTTCGCTTCCCCGGCGGGCGGCAACCTCACCTTAGCCGCCCGCCAGACCTCAACCTATTCCGCTTATTTTCTACACATACCTTCCCATCACTGCCTAAATCTTCTCTCTTGAGGCCAATGTGAATTCAAAAGATGTACCTTCTACTAGCTCAGAATGTGTTGCTCCAAGATCTGGTTGCGGGAATGATAATCCAGAGGTTGCCACAGCTGTTCCACTTGGATTAGGGCTGGGAGCTTTGCAACCTAAGAGACGAAGTATGCAACCAAGATCACTAAGCAAGGGTAGTGATGCAACTTCTAGTGCTCCTAGTCAAAATCAACAAACAAGAACGAATGGCCAGCAGATTTTGCAATCTCTTGCCAACATGAGGAATACAAATTCCACATCATCAAGACAGCTGCCTCCTGCCCTTGGGCGTATCATGGAAAGTGTCCAAATGGGAGGGCAAGGTGCTGATGGTCAGTTTGATGCAGCAAGTGTTATGTCTCAGGTTCTTCATAGTCCTGCTCTAAATGGTCTATTGGCAGGGGTTTCAGAGCAGACTGGCGTTGATTCTTCTGATGCCTTAAGGAATATTTTCTGGTTCTATGGATGGAGACATTCGGCTTTGGGACATGGCTTCCAGGCACAGTTTGTCAGTTTCCTGGTCACCAAGGTGCTGTACGTGGGTTGACAGCACATGGGGGCACCCACTCAATTTCTCTCTCTCACTTTAAACCCTCTCTTTTTCTTTCTTTTTCTTTTTATATTGACATCCACAGACCACCAACTGGACCCCAACGGCTAAACAATCCCCACTCTACTCTTTTGTTGATTTTATATATATATATATATATAGGAGCACCTCCCCAGACACACTTTTTTTTTATCATCATCAACTTTCATCTTTCACTTCACGCTTTACACACCACACCACCCAACTTGTCTCCAACCCCATTAATTTTTAATTTATGTTATCTTTTTTATCATTTAAATACTCTCTATCTTTTTTGTTGTTTTCATAATCATCTCTCCCACCAAACCATCTTTCACATTCATACCCACTACACCTTTTTTTTTTTTATATATATTTCCACCAAGTACTTCTCTTCTTTTCCTTCTTTTCTTTTCTTTTTATTTATTTATTTATTTTTTACTCTTCTTTGTCAAAAACAAAAAAACAAAAAAAAAAACAAAAAAACAAAACAAAAAACAAAAAAACCAACAACAAAAATCCACACACACTCTGTTATTCATGTGTTGAATTTTCATTCCCAAGACACCCATGTGGGCTTGTCCCCTCTCTCCTCCGTTTGATTCCAACTTCATTATTTTTTTATTTATTTTCTCCAACTCACTTTTCATCTCTTTCAAATATCCACTCTAAAAAAATATCTCTTTCTCAAATAACCCATCCCAAAATATATATCTTTTTTTTTGGTAGGACCCGACCAAACAAATTTGAATCTCACATTTCCTTTTTATTTTTATTTTTTTTATTCCTTTCACATTCACACATTTCTCTTCAATTTTATTCACATACTTCTCTTCCACTTTATTTTCTTTTATTTTCAAAAAAAAAAAAACAAAAACAAAAACAAAAACAGAAGAAGAAGAACTGCACACCAAACTCATTTTATTCATGTCAGGGATCAACCCCGATCCCAATTTTACACAAAAAAAAAAAAAACAAACAAACAAACAAACCACCACAACACACCCACACCCACAGTGGGATTTTTCTTACTCTCTCACTTTCTCTCTCCTCTCCTCTCCCTCTTTCTCTTACCATCCGTCCATCACTGCAGTGGGTGGGTCCCATCACCACTTTACTCTTTCACTCTCTCTTCTCTCTCTGCCTCCGTTGATGGCTAGAACCATTGTTAACTGCGGCAAGCAAAATAACATCTGACACTATTTTTTGAGTTTAGCCAACTCCTTAACAGCTTCATTGGAGCTGAAAATGACATCTTTCACTAGCTAAAACTTATAGACTGACACTAACATGTACACAAACAGCTCCACTGTGAATGCCCTTATATAGATATATACATATAAATTTGTTCACATTATAAATTTGAGCATACATATGTAGCTGATTTTTTCTTTTTGAATTTCAAAATGGCAATTTTAATAAATTTGCACTAGCTGATTTGTGATGTAACATATATACACCAGATATATACATCTATATGAATAGATATATTCTATGTATATATATTTGCAAACCCTATAGTTTCTCTTACAGATTCTCTGCTTTTACACGTATGCTCTTTTACAAAATGTGCCTCAAAATGATAGATTTTAGCCATGAACTTAGTAGACTCTTTTTATTATTTTATTATTTTTTATTTTCTGATTAAGAGTGAATCTGCTTCGGTATTTCTTGTATTTCTATTAATGAATGCTTGATTAGATGATGCTTTTGTTTCTAATTTCCTTTCTTTGTGGTATATTCCTAATTTTTTGATAGATGAATGTGTGTCCGTTGGTTAAAGCTCCCTCTTCTTAGCAAATCGTAATAACCTTCTTTCTTTTCTGCGGTTTTTTCCCTATTTCTTCCTTAACTTTTATATGTTTTTCCCCTTTATTTTTTCGTCAGTTTAGAACAAAGGAATTTACAACAAATACCTTTTCTTTTTGTACCTTGTATGTAGCACGTCACTTGCCTTGTATTATTTGTTAGACATTCTACATTTAAGTCTATGACATTGGGAACTTCTACCTATGATGAATGAATTGACATCACTCAAAACAAAAAAATTAAAAGAAGGCAGTGTTTTAATTTTATATTTTTATTTGCAGTTTGCACTCATCTGTTTTCATCTCTCTCTTTTACTTCCTTCGAAAACCCTAGAGTTTGTAGGTAATGACTCTCTCTCTCTTACTCTCGGTCTTAATTTAAGAATTTTGCATTTGATATTTGTATTTTTGATTTGAAATTTATGAAATCTTAGAGCTTGAAGATAAGGATTTCCTCTTGCAAAATTTTGCATTCGAAATTTGTATTATAGATTGAAATCCCCATAGTATAATAACCCTCCTCTAGTTGTTTTTTTGTTTAGTCATTTATTGCTATGTGTTTGTGTGTAAGTAGTCAAGCTATAAAAATAAAGCAATCTCAGTTTTTCTCTTTATTGATCTTCTTTTATTTTAGGCCGAATACACTAACAGTCCCTATAGTTTGAGGCTCGTGTCACTTTGATCCCTGACTTTTCAATTATGACATATTTGACCCTAAATTTTGGATCTCGTTCCAAATAAAAACAATTGATGATACCATTGCTCAATTTTAAGGGCAAAGTCATCAATTTAATAAAATATAAATTAATTTGACAAAAATAAATGTCAAAAAAATCTTTTTGAATTTTTAAAAATTATTTCTACCCGCCAAAGATAAAATTATGTAAAATTGATAAATTTTTTACACATTTATTTATTTATTTATTTTACCAAATTAATTTTTATTATGTGTTTAGATGATGATCATATAATGTGTGGTTCTTAGATTTTTAATGTGTAATCAGTATATTTAATATATGCAATGTTTTTAGTTTTGAGTTTTGAGTTTTTTGATTTAATAGATTGGTTTAATAATGATATCAAAGTTGTCTCCATATTTGAGTTTTGAAAAGATAAAAACTAATTGAATGAAAATAAAAACAACCATTCATTACATGATCATCATCCAAACACATAATAAAAATTAATTTGGTAAAAATAAATAAATAAATGTGTAAAAGATTTATCAATTTTACATAATTTATGTTAGGTGGGAAGAAATAATTTTTAAAAATTCAAAAATATTCTTTTGACATTTATTTTGTCAAATTAGTTTATATTTTATTAAATTGACGATTTTTCCCTTGAAATTAAGTAATGCTATCTTCAATTGTTCTTATTTGAAACAAAATTCAAAATTCAGAGTCAAATATGTCACAATTAAAAAATTAAGAACCAAAATGATATAAACCCCAAACTATAGTCACCATTAGTATAATTTGCCCTTTATTTTATCTTTGTAACCTTTGAACATTTGTGGCAGAAGCAACTTTGTTTCTCTTTATCTTCTTTCATCTCTCTCTCTCTCTCTCTCTCCCTAACTTCCTTCGAAAACCCTAGAGTTTGAAGGTAATGACTCTCTTTGGCTTGTGTTGAAGGGAATAGTCACCAACTCAACTTTAATGGTTGAGAATGAAAAGCTCTTGTTTTGTGGAAGTTTTCGAGGCTATCTCTTTTGCTTCATTCAACAAGATTTGATATTTTTTCCCCTTCTAGTTTCTTAGCCAACAACAAATGGGTTTTGCTAAAAAAACTCCAAATTGTGTGTGGCTGTTAGAAATTCCTTGTTTTTGCATTCTCTCATCTGATTTGGCTAGGTTTTGTTACCTGATATTTATATATTATTCAATTATGTATTGGTTTTGTTATTTTGGTGGCATTGTCAACTATAGACTGATTTGAGGAAAAGAGTAGAAATTTATCTGATATGACTATTTAAACATGTTGCAGGTTTGGGTTTTCTCTTAGGACATTGTTTGGGGATATGTGAAGAATGGTTTGTAGATTTTCCACCAAGTTATTGAATATATGTATATCTTCTTTTTGTAAAGTGCGGCAATTGGAGAAAGCGGAAGCGATTATAATTGATGGTATAAGATTAGGTGTACTACCAGATGTGGTTACTTACAATACATTAGTTGCTGCCTATACTCGTTTTGTTGGCATAGATGCAGCTTATTCCGTTCTTCATAGAATGAGAGAAGCTGGGATAAACCCAGATGTTATTACATATAATTCTTTGATAGCTGGTGCCACCAAGCATTGCTTATTATCTCGATCACTGGATCTGTTTGAAGAAATGCTTCACATGGGCATTCCCCCTAATGTGTGGAGCTACAATACTTTGATGCATTGCTTCTTCAAATCAGGAAAACCAGATGAGGCCAACAGGGTATTTCGGGATATTATTTTGAGCAATATTTCTCCTTGTCCATCCACATTTAACGTTATGATTAATGGTCTTTGCAAGAATGGGTACACTGCAAATGCCCTCATGTTATTCAGGAATTTACAGCGCCATGGATTTACTCCTAAGATAGTTACATATAATATTCTGATTAATGGGCTTTGCAAGTCAGGTAGGTTAGGGGCAGCAAGAACAATTCTCAAGGAGCTTGGAGAATCAGGTCTTATGCCAAATGCCATAACATATACTACTATAATGAAATGCTGCTTTAGATCTAGACAGTTTGAACAAGGGCTTGAGGTCTTCTTAGAGATGAAGGAGAAAGGGTATACGTTTGATGCCTTTGCGTACTGCACAGTCATTGGTGCTTTAGTTAAAATGGGTAAGATAAATGAGGCAAATGAATGCATGGACCAGATGATTAGGAATGGCATTGAGCTTGATATAGTGTCTTATAACACCTTGATTAATCTGTATTGTAAGGAAGGTAAGTTGGAAGCTGCCTGTAATTTGTTGGATGAGATTGAGAAGGGAGGGATGGAATGTGACAAGTACACACATACAATTCTGATTGATGGATTGTGCAAGGCAGGTAATATTGAGGGGGCAGAGCGACATTTGAAGTATATGAATATGATGGGTTTTGATTCAAACTTGGTTTCTTTCAATTGCTTCCTTGATGGTTTGTGTAAAGCTGGCGAGGTTGATTATGCAATGAAGCTGTTTGAATCTATGGAGTTAAAAGATTCCTTTACCTACTCTTCCTTGGTACACAATCTTTGCAGGGCTAGGAGATTCCACAGTGCATCTAAGCTCTTGCTGTCTTGTTTAAGAGGTGGAATGAAAATACTTAGGTCTGCCCAACGAGCTGTTCTTGATGGTCTTCGGTCTTCGGGATTCACAAGAGAGGCAAGGAAGCTTCACTCAAAAATTCGATTGGCTAAGATTTTTCACTATTAATTTGGTTAGGGTGCTTTAGATTTTTCCTGGAAGTTGGAAGAACTTTATGGTGCAATCAGTTTAGTTGTAAGGGTCATTTTTTAAGATGGAAATATACAGCATTTAGTTTACGTTGATCTTGCTGACTAAATTTATTTGGAATAAAAAGCCTTTTGAGCGCCAATCATTGAAAATTCTGGAAGAGAGTTGGTCAGTTTTTGATGTCCATACTCCATTTGCTTGGAAGACTCTGGTCATGCTACACAAATTATTTGCACTCTATACCAAATAATTTGCACGTTTGAGACATTTACAAGGATATGCTAGAACTGTGAGTCACGTCCGCTTCTTTAACAATAGTTAATGAAGTTTGTTTGAAATCTCAAATTAATTAGTACATATTATCTCAAAATTTTGGCAGGTACAGTGGTTGACATTGTTCAGCACGGAATACATCTGAGGATCTCGTACTACTTTGCAGGTTGAAATCTTTGCAAATAAGAACCATCTTATGTGAGTACTGTGTTGGCCCCAGAATATCTAAATTAGTTTCTCTTCAGAATTTGGCTGATAAGGATTTAATTTATGGGAATTCACATTAATCATTTCTCTTCCAGTGACTGGCAGCATGACTGTTGGGTATTACTTTATAAATTTACACTGCCACTTGCATGCTAGGATAATAATAAAAGGAAATGGCACTGACTTGATTAATGACTACCCGTAGTTTAGGTGATTACTCTATGCATCTCTTTCTTGGTCATTTGAAATCTTGATCAGGATATTTTCCTCCCTTTTCTGACAATGCAACACTCAAATTGCCATTTGCTGATTAAAGGCATCATCAGCAAATGCCTTTAACAGTAGAATGACAAGATATTCTCCGCACTCAGGATTGAGGTCTAGTTGATCATTGTTTCCAGTGTCTATGTACTTTTCTTTTTGGTACGTCCATGTGACTAGTGTCTATATTCTTCAGTGGCAATATATATTGGCTAAGATCCGAGTACCTCTGTACCAAATAATGTTGTCGCGCTGCACCTTATATGGATGCTCTTACAAACACGTAGGCTGGAAAATGGCTGGCTGAAATAACCTGCCCTGATGAATCCTCCATGAAACATCTTTAGCCTAGTCTAGCTCCAGTTTGATGGCATTTTCAAATTGACAAATTTGTTTTCTAAGGCATTGAGGGATATTGACCTGAAAGGACTTTTAAGCACTGATACAGTCTGCATTTTTATCAATCCTTCACGTTCCTTAAGAACCTTTTAAAACACTAGACCAAGTCAGAAGTTGAATGAACCCAAAAAAAATAAAAAATGAAAATGTAAGTCAGTTTTGATCTAGGAAGCACGGATACGGGATACAACAATGCACCAAAATTTGAAAAAGTAGGATATGGGTTACGGCATGAATACATTCGTAAAAAGAATTACTTTTTATAATTTTAAAATTGTTTCACTTAAATAAATAAGAAGTCCAAAACTCATATAAAAACAACATCCAATTAGTACATATTAATGTGTATTTGGAAGGGAAAAGATTGGGTACACACTTAACCTGTGCCATAGTGCACAAAGTGGTTGCCTTGTGACTTGAACCCATAACCTTAAGGTTTTTAGGCCAAGGTTTTACCATTGAACCGAGAGAGAGAGACATGTTCGCTGTGGTCGATCAAGACAGAGATGAGATCAACTGACTTAGGTTCTGCCAGATTTGCCTCTTGGATGAGCAAGAGAGAAGGTCAGGTTAGGGTTTTTTCTTCTCAAGTTCTCGCCTCTTTTCTTGTTTATGATTTCGCAATGGATTTGAGGGATTTGATCTGATTTGTGTTTATTTTAATTTAAGTTTGCATTTTTCCAGTTTGACCCCCAAGAAACTTCTGAAAATTACATTTTGTGCCCCACCGTATCTCAAAAGTATTCGGAATGTATCTCCAACGTATCCGAAATTCAAAAAAATAATAAATAAATAAATAAATCGAATACTCTTTTGCTGTAGCCAATACATATCCTGGCGTATTCGTATCCGATACTCGTACACTGCCATTTTGGAGTATCCGTGCTTCATAGGTTTTGATATCTTAACATTCCTCCAAATTATAATACCTCACCTCACCGTAATAGCATTGATGATAGCAGTCATGGACATTACTTTATGTCCCAACTACCACCAGGCTGAAAAGTACAATCTATTTTTTTATGTTATTATATATATATATTTGAAGTCCATTTTCCCCAATTTAAACCTTTTGAGTGATTTATTTTTTTGTGTTCAACAAGTCCTCAATGAAGGTCGAAACCTTTGGGTCTGTTAACAAATTCCTTAGTAATGATGACTATGAATTGATCTCTCGTATCGCAATTACTAAGATTTCAATTAAGGCTTTCTTATATCTTTTATACAAGTTCTCTAATATCAAGTTAAATATTATATTTACATCAATCTATAATGTGATCAGGAACTCCTTATAATGTTAATCAAACTATTATATAAGGATTCAAGATAGACGAATTTTACATACATTCAAAACATGTAAAGCAATGTGCAAGAAATGAATACAATGGTTTATTGTGGTTCAATATACCCATTTTGCCTAATTTCACTAGTGTAATTCACTAATTCAAATGCTTTGCCCTAGAACAACACAACATTTACAACTCCAATAGATTTTCTCTAGGACCTTCAAAATTTACGACAAATACACAAATACTAGTAGGGTTTTCTTGGCCCAACCCAAAACCAATCCCCACCAAAGCACATTTCTAGAAACACTTTACAAGGTAGCTCATCTTGAGATCCTAGGATATCTCTATGTGAGACTAAGCTGTAGTTCTGTGTAAATAGCACAGACATGACCGCGCGACATGATACAAACATGAGAGTGACACACCAACACGTCAAGTTTCAAAAAATGCAGGACATGATACATCTGGGATGTTTTTATAAATTTATTATACGTCAAATATATGAATAGTTTATTCAAAGGTAATGGGGAAAAAAAAAAATACATAACACTAATTTAAATTTAACCATATATTTCACAACTTAAACTACAAGATGTTATTCAAGTAACAATTGCAATCTAAAGGATGCAAAATAATTGTAGAATATAAAAATACAAATGATGTATTCATCTTATAAATGTTTCAAAATATATTTAGAATGAATATGTTACATTCCGAAGAATATAGAACATTGTTACTATGAAGAGATTCATCACATAAGTTACACGAGTGCTGTTCGAAGGGTTCAAGAACTTTTGCCAAAATGTTTGGGAAGTGTCTGTAAAGAATCTGATATTATGAATTTACGTGCTTTTTAGAAGTGTTTGCAAAGTATCGTGTTCGACACAACAGAACACACCTCCTCCATAGAAGTGTTCATGCTTCTTAGAGTTGTGTGATGACAATAGTGTATACATAACACCAGAATGAAAAATTATGCCTTCGCAATAAGAACTCCAAGATTCAGAGAGGAGCAAGCTCCACCAAAAGGTGCAATGAAGGTTTCTCAAGTGCTCACACAAGGTGCAAGACTTCTTAAAGAAGTGATTTATGTAGTGTATAGGCACTCTAATATATATTTTCTCATCTTAACATACCAAATGGGGGTATTTGGTATGTATAGCCACAACCAACTAGGCCTAGCCTAGTTGGCCAACATGAGTTGGCCAACATGACTCTCCTAAGGGCTTGGTCCCAAGAGGGAGGTCATGAGTTCAACTCTCCCCAAGTGGGAGTTGAATTAGGAGGCAAGCACTTGGTACTGTGTAAGCGTGGGAAGGCTAACTCCCATAGGCGATAATCTAACCACTAATAACTGACTTTTGCCGATCCAAAAAAACAAAGACTATTCTTTGGAAAATTTTCTCAAGTCAAACCTATTATGTTTTTAACCCTTTTTCTTTTTTCTTTTTGGTTATTTTCTCTCTAAGTTTCAAAATATTTTTTTAAGGCAGGGCCAACGACATCCTAGGCGAACCCTTAAAATGGGACTCTTTAATACATAATCACAACAAATTATTTTTTTTTGAATAAAATGATTAATTTTTATACTTTTGTTTATTTGCTAGTGCCCAAAGAAAGTCTGTTTGTATATATAATCACTAAAACTATATAATAAAATTTCGTTACATATATCAAGACATGAAAATTATTACAACGGCTCGAAAAGATTTTGTTACCTTATGACTTAGTAAAAGGTCAGTTTACAAAACTTGTCGGACTTTTCAAGGGGTACAGGTGTCGGTGCCTTATTTGAAGAATAAGTTTTTGGTGGTGTTGTCTAGTTGAGTGTCGGGTAGTTGAGTGTCGGGAAGGGTGGAGCTGGATTTATTTTTCTCTTTGGATTTTGTTTATTATATATTTGTCTAATATGTAGTTCTGGTGGTGCTGGTTGTATTTGTTAGCATCTTCTTGATGCTCTCTTTCTAGTAAAGTTACTTTTTATTTATCAAAAAAAGAAAAAGTCAGTCACAAATATATGTACATATATATTAAACAAAGTCTAAAATTATAATACCAAGTAAAAATTGAACCAATAATACTTTTATCGCACTTTTAGATGTACTATTACTAATGAAGTATGCATAATAGCTTATGTACTATATCCTTTTCGGAAAATTATTGGGTGATCCAGTAACACCACGTCATTCATCCCATTTGGTGCTCCAAACCAGTGAAAACATACCATCTAAGTAGTGTGTCAGTGGATCTGCCAGGTTGGAAACAGTTGGACTCTTCCGTTCTCAAAGGAAAACTAACGCTCATTAACGTTGAGGTACGAAAAATTGTGTTTCAATTTTTTTGACTTCCTGCTGCATATTTGAACCTTTTAGATTTGAATTTTTTGGGTTTTTTAGAAAACTTAAAAGAGAGAGAAATGGCTCTCTTCCTCCCATTCAATCTCTCTCTCTCTCATACTGTAGCTCCACCATTGCTTGTAGAACCACCAATGACCACCGTCAGCAATGCTGTTGCCAATGCCACCACTGTTGTTTGGTGACCACCAGAACCATTCACCAGTTTTCGTCTAGTAACACTACTATTCACCACAATCATCGTCCAATAGCACAAGCATTTTCCCAATGTATTTAGCCATATTGTTTGTATCAATTTTCTTGAATTTTGATATGAAAACATGGGTATTTACTCTATTTGTATCATGAACTGCACTTTGTTCACCGTGTTTGTAAAAATGCTTCTAAAAGTACACTGACAAAATATTTGTCAATATGGTCTTATTTCATGATGTGTATTCTTCATTTTGGCAGGCAACTTTGGCCTTTCATATTAGCAAGTTGGTAAACCATTTTCTCCAGCAGAGGCATTTGGTGGAAGGAGTTTTATACTCTCAAATTGAAGCTTTTATGCAATTTCATGTCTTGGTGACAATAGGTGGTTGTGCTTGTTATGGTGATTTGTTCTAACTAAGTTGTTTTGGTGGAGAAGAGCTCCTCATTGTGTTATATGCTCCCTCGTGCTGATGTGATGTCAGGGTTCAAAATGTATAGAATTGTATAAACTGGCAAACCAATTGATGATCATAGCGTTATGGAAAATGTTGTAGTATGGCTGTATTCACTGAATGTAGTGTTGGGCCCCCTGGCCAGTTTTGGTCAACACTTGTCAAGAAGTCTGTTATTTGGTTATGCTTCTATTATTATTCCTTCAATGGCTTAGATTTTCCAATGGCTCACAATTAATGTTACCTCTCAAGAGCTATTCCTTTTTTTTTGGGTTACATATTTACAGTGGCTTTTCTTGCCTTTTCTGCATGTTCCTTCTGTTTTATTATGTTGCTCTTTTATGTAACTTCTTAGTTATCTCTTCTACGCAATATTCGTTGTGTTGAAATGAACACTAAAATAAAATGATCACTTTGTCATAATATTTAATTTTATGTTTGGTTGATAAAAAAAAAAAAGAAGAAGAAAGGGTATATTGTAAATGGAATCATAATTCACCAATTTAGAAAATGGCATTCCATTAAGAAGACCATTCCATTTTTGCCCAAAATTATTTCAATGAACCAAACACTATGTTAGTAATTTTTTATTTTAAAAGCTGTTGGCAGATGCCACTGTAGTTGTCATGTTGCTGTCTGTTGGGTTTGCAAAAACTTGTATGATGTGTTGTTGGTTTGGAAGCTGTAGCTATGACTTCCATGGATGACAATCCTAGATTGAGATTACATCCAAGCATTCACAATCTGTTGCCTAAATTCAACATCTTCCAAACAGATTATGTATGTAGTAGAGTATACTATAAGAAGACTTTCAATGTATATTTATATATCTCTTCCCTTCGAAATCACACCTTAGAACATCTGAAATCCTTGAAATCCTTTCACTTGCACCTTTCCAATTCAGTGTTTCTAACACCGTGACATTATTGATCATAATGTTCTTGTCTTGCAGCCTTCCCTAGCAGCAATGGCAGGAAAGCATGCCACCCAAATGTTCCTGATAATCAAACATGGCAATCAATAATTAATAGAGTTAAAAATTTTCAGTTGAGACAACGTTGAATCATCCAGTTGAATTTTCATCACACACACAAAATAAATAAATAAATAAATAAAATCCTTCATGCGTATTGCCACTGCCAGTGCAACGTCCAAATAATGCAAACATATGTATTAAATCAATTTTCTCTGACAATCTTTGTAAACAAAATAAGAGAAAATAAAAATTCAAGATAGCAATAGAAGAGTAATAGTAGATATCATGAAAAGTTTCATGAAATTTTCACCTTTGGATAACACACAATAAAACATTATGCATTAATCAAATGATGACAAATTTTCATAAAGTATTTCATGATATTTCTTTCATGATACCTAACATTATTTTTAATAGAATTTAGATTGGGCATGTGAGCCCATTACAGTAAGAGAAATTGACAACAACATTAACTCAATCAAGATTTGAGAGCCTTCTACAAAGAGAGTTGACAAATTAATTTAGAGAATATATTACCAGAATGTCATTTCTACAAACACAAGGTGACCAAAATACAGTTTGCACGGTGAAAGAACGAAAACTCGCGGAAGAGTAAGTATCACATGCCTTTCGGTTAATACCCAAAAAGTGGGGTGCTATTGGTGGTCCTTGTCTTTTTGTTCATTACGGGTGTAACTGACTTAGATTTTGAAAATTTTAAATTATCCCTTTTATGTCTTAAATTTTGAAAATTTGAAGATTTAATTAGATTGTTGGCAAATGATGAAATTTTTGAATCTATATTTATGTATCACAATCGCATCATCATATCTATTGTCAAGGAATATTTCGTAAGTTCAAAATTTTCTCTAATGAACTTTGGTTCATCCCTTTGCGAAAACAATTTTTCAGGTGTTAATGTTGAAATATGATTTTGAGTGGGCATGGATATAAATGTGCGCAAAGGCTCCTTGTTGATTGACTTTTAAGCCTTACTTGTTTGGCTATGTGCCTTATTTGTAAAAGAGTTAATGTAACGCCCCTAAAATAATACAATAAATACATCCTAAACATATATAAATAGCAGCATGAATTGGAGCATATTGTTCTTTCATTACATAGAGTTAATGATACAAAAGAGTGTAGCAAAAATAAATGCCTTATAGGCTTATACTTTTCCAAGTCATTGCTTGGTCACACAAAAATGAGTTTCGCTCAATACATTTTAAGTCCTTAGTTTTACAAAAGAAATAATCAAAAGTAGAGAAGCACTTGCCCCCAAAAGTTCCTCCAAGCTATTGCCTTGGTGGAGGCATGTCACCAACACTTGAAAATGTTATTCCCAAATAGGGTGAGCCACGGCCCAGTAGGAATCATCTAACCCAGTATATGAAATTTAACAAAAGTATAAATATAATATGCATGCCCGTAATAAAATGTCCACAAATTCTTATACTCATAATACATCAAATTTCAAATCATATTCGGGTTTCCTCCAATTCATTTATTTTTCTCAATCCATGAATCAAATTCATTATTTTTCGACAACCAAACTGAGACTACAACTCAATAGTTTTTCAATCATACAAAAACATGCACAAACACTTCGAACTGCCATTTTACGGATATTTCGTCTGCAGGATCAATACCCATGTATAAATTCCAATTTGTCATTTTATGGATATTTCGTTCGCGGGATCGGCACCCATATATAAAGAGTGCTGCTATTAGCACCTACCAAAATTCTTTGGACCCCCCATTTCTTTGGGCCCCAACCCTAAACCCTAAATTTTAATAATATTTTTTTGGACACCCCACTTATTACCAAATCTACTCATATTCATAATATTTTCACAATGAAATGCACACCCACCTAATTTTTCATCCTTCTCCTTCCCTAACTCACTCAATCTTCAGAGTTTGGAGCTTTGGTCCAGTACAGCTCCTCCGACCTCCCCATTGTGTAAGGATCGTAATTCATTCTCATTACCTTCTTCACTACTGTCCCATCTGGCAACACGTCGTTCTTTAAAGCTTGCTTTCCGTCAATGGGGATGGATGGGTAGAGTCTCATGGTCTCGCTCAGCGATGCGTGTGTGTAAACCATGTCTTTTACTTCTTCGTAGATTGGCGCTTCGGATTTCTCATTGATTTCTTTGAGAATCTCAGTTTCTACATTTGGGTTTTTGGAGACAAACCAGAAGAACCAGATTAAAGCGGCCGAGGTGGTGTCACGACCCGCTAGTATGAAGCTGATGACAATGTCGGTGATAAAGTTTTCATCTAAATGCCCTGAATTCAAGAATCTCGATAGGAGATCAGCAGATTCGAGTGATGATTTTGAATTTGTTTACCACTGTGTAGCCGAAAAAATGAATTTTGTTCAAAACTGTTTTGTCGAACAATAATGATCCTGTCAGCACTGTATGTCCGAACAAAATTTGTTCATCACTGTGTAACTTGAATCCATTCCAATTCACAACTTAAAATAACATGAATTAAATCCATTCAAAATACATAACTTAAATCCATACCAATTCACTCTTTTCCATTCCAATCCATTCAAAATACATAACTTAAATCCATTCCAATCCATTCCAATATATGATCATGTTGTAAATACATTGCATATGTATGATTATTTGGGAAGAGAAAGGGGATGTACTCCATATGTGATTATGTGTTTAAATACATTGCATATGTATGATTGTTTGGGAGGAGAAAGGGGATTAACTCCATTATAATTAAGTTGGCCGGAGTGTCCTGAGTGAAAATCTAGATTTATATATGAGTGTTGCTATTAGATTTAGATTTATATATGAGTGCTTCTATAATCATCTAAAATGGGGGGTCCAAAGCATTTTGGCAGGTGCTAATAGCAGCACTCATATATAAATTTTGAGATTTTCACTCAGGATACTCCAGCCAACTTAATTATAATGGAGTTAATCCCCCTTCTCCTCCTAAACAATCATACATATGCAATGTATTTAAACACATAATCACACATGGAGTACATCCCCTTTCGCTTCCCAAATAATCATACATATACAATGTATTTACAACATGATCATATACAATGATAGCCAACCATGGATTAGTTTTAATTCACATAATCCTCATGCAATTTCTACAACAATCATAGCTATCCTCCACTGATAGCCCAATACAAATATTTCTAAACATATATATATTCTTAAGACAGATAATTTATTCAAAATTTCCACAGGTGTGAAATAATACATATCCAATTCCACCATTTATATCCATAATCATCCAATTTCACATTTTTAAAGTCAATTTCAGTTATTTATACAAAATAACAATTAAATCCAATTAGGGAAAAATTCCTCATTTTTTCCAAAGATTAACCAAGTTCCAAAATCATCAAGTTGGACACAATACAACATCATTTTCAAACCTCACAATCATTTATCTCTTATTCATTAAGAACCCCTCTTTTTATCTCATACCCAAACCTTAGGTTTGCTTAAAGCATTCCCAAATCACACCATTGTAACACAAATGACAAATATCTAAGCTAAATAACATATGAAGGTGTAGAAAAATCCCTACCTCAAGTTAGAAGACCAAGCAAAACAAAGGTGCAACTCTAAGGATGCTCAAACCCAACTTCATCCGGATCAAAATGAAGATATTGAAGCGCTTTACCTTTTTCTCAAAGGCACTAGGGTAAAGAACACAATAGATCTAGGTTAAAATGTATAGAGAGAGAGAAAGAGAGAGAGAAAGTATTTTAGAGAGAGAAACTCAAGATCTAGGGTTTTGAAGGGTTTTAGAGACAGAGAGAAGTGAAAAAGTGAACAAAAACATCATCTTCATGGGCTGTTATACACGCAGTCGGCTCGAGTGTAGAGAGTGATGCTCGAGCGTCAGACACAAAGTTCCGCTCGAGCGTGAAAAGTTACGCTCGAGCGTGGAATACACATTTCCAGAAGTTTAGCAGACGAAGGGCCCTGCTCGAGTGTAGGACTGGACGCTCGAGCGTAAGAAACATCGCTCGAGCGTCGAACACACTCTCTCAGTATTTGCAAGTCTGCAAAAATACTGAAAGTTGACAAATCCCACTCGAGTGCAAGAATGCCCGCTCGAGTGGAAGAGCTAAAATCTGGGCATCATAGGTTTAGAAAAACACGCAACCAACCTATTCCAAACATACGACCACAACCTGATAACCAAAATAAAGGAGAGACAAGGGAAACAAGATATGAATCACTATTCAGAACTATACAACCCGAGTCCATAACACAACAAGTGACGGGCCAAAACCGGAATCGCT